AGATCCGGTGGTCGCTGGATCCGCTGGATCCGATCCGGTGACGAATCCCAAACCGGCGCCCTCGCTGAGACATCCTCAAAACAAACCGGCCCGGTAGGTGCCCAGAGGAGAGCGCGGCCTCCGGCACCGTTTCCGGAACAGATCGGTGGATCCGCTGGATCCGCTGGATTCCCACGATCTGGCCTCCAATCCCAAACCGTCGCCCTCGCTTGAGACATCCTCAACACAACCGGCCCCGGGGGAGGTGCCCAGAGGAGCCCAGACGGCCTCCGCACCGTGAAGTTTAACCAGCTTAGGTGTGGAAAGAGTGGATGGATCCGGTGACGAATCCCAAACCGGCGCCCTCGCTTGAGACATCCTCACAAAACCGGCCCCGTGGGAGGTGCCCAGAGGAGCCCAGAGCGGCCTCCGGCACCGTTTCCGGACAGATCCGGTGGATCCGCTGGATCCGCTGAATCCGGTGACGAATCCCAAACCGGCGCCCTCGCTTGAGACATCCTCACAAAACCGGCCCCGGGGGAGGTGCCCAGAGGAGCCCAGAGCGGCCTCCTGCACCGTTTCCGGACAGATCCGCTGGATCCGGTGGATCCGCCGACGAATCCCAAACCGGCGCCCTCGCTTGAGACATCCTCACAAAACCGGCCCCGGGGGAGGTGCCCAGAGGAGCCCAGAGCGGCCTCCGGCAACCGTTTTCCGGACAGATCCGTTGATCGCTGGATCTGCTGTATCCCGTGACGAATCCCAAACCGGCGCCCGTCGCTTGAGACATCCTCACAAAACCGCCCGCGGGTGAGGTGCCCCAGAGGAGCACAGAGCGGCCTCCGGCACCGTTTCCGGACAGATCCGCCGGATCCGCTGGATCCGCTGGATCCGGTGACGAATCCCAAACCGGCGCCCTCGCTTGAGACATCCTCACAAAACCGGCCCCGGGGGAGGTGCCCAGAGGAGCCCAGAGCGGCCTCCGGCACCGTTTCCGGACAGATCCGCTGGATCCGCTGGATCCGCTGGATCCGGTGACGAATCCCAAAACCGGCGCCCTCGCTTGAGACATCCTCACAAAACCGGCCCCGGGGGAGGTGCCCAGAGGAGCCCAGAGCGGCCTCCGGCACCGTTTCCGGACAGATCCGGTGATCCGCTGGATCCGCTGGATCCGGTGACGAATCCCAAACCGGCGCCCTCGCTTGAGACATCCTCACAAAACCGGCCCCGGGGGAGGTGCCCAGAGGAGCCCAGAGCGGCCTCCGGCACCGTTTCCGGACAGATCCGGACAGATCCGGTGGATCCGCGCCCCCGGGGAGGTGCCCAGAGAAGGAATGAGGAGGAGGAGGAGGAGGAGGAGGAGGAGGAGGAGGAGGAGGAGGAGGAGGAGAAGGAGGAGGAGGAGGAGGAGGAGGAGGAGGAGAAGATGATGGAGCCTGTAGCTGCGGGGAGTGGAGGAGAGGACAGAGAGAAGGCCAGAGAAGGATGGAGGAGTGAGGAGGAGGAGGGAGGAGGAGGAGGAGGAACCTCATCCTCACCCTCGCCAACAAGCGCACGCACCTTCTTCTATATACAGAAACTCCCGATCAACCGCAGAGCGGCCGGCTGGTACTACTCCCCTCTTACTACGCCTACGACTAGGACTACTACTACTACTACTACTACTAATACTACTACTACTACTACTACTGCTACTACTACTACTACTACGACGACGGCGACTACTACTACTACTACTACTACTAATACTACTATTGCTGCTTTTACTGCTTCCGCTACGCATACTAGTACCACGACTACTACTACTACTACTACTACTACTACTACTACTACTACTACTAGTACTACTACCACCACGACTACTACTACTACTACTACTACTACTACTACTACTACTAACGCGGCGGCTACTATCACTATTATTGCTACTACGAGTAGTACGACTACCAATGCTACCACGACCACCACTACTACTACTACTACTACTACTACTACAACTACTACAACTAGTAGTAGTATTACTAGTAGTAATAGTAGTAGTACTACTACTACTACTACCACTACTACCACAGCGACTACTACTACTTCCACTTCTTCTACTACTCCTCA